GATGTTTCGGTTGACATGGGGTGTGAAGGTGTTTGGGTTTAGGGTTCAGGGTTCAGGGTTTAGGGTTTAGGGTTTAGGGTTCAGGGTTTTTGGGTTTAGGGTTTAGGGTTTAGGGTTCAGGGTTTTGGGTTTCGGGTTTTGGGCTTCGAGCTTACAGGGTTTAGGTTCAGGCTTTTGTAAGGCCGATGGCTTGCTTCCGAGCTTGAAGAATTTTGGTTGAGGTTCGTTGAGTGTTTAGGGTGTTAACTAGGGTTTCGGGTCTAGGGTTTGGGGTTTTAACTGCGGTTCAGGAAGTAGGGTTTAGGGTTTAGGGTTTGGGGTTTTAACTAGGGTTCAAGGTTTAGGGTTTAGGGTTTTAACTAGGGTTTGGGGTTTGGGGTTTTAACTAGGGTTCAAGGTTTAGGGTTTAGGGTTTTAACTAGGGTTTAGGGTTTAGGGTTTTAGCAAGAGTTTAGGGTTTAGGGTTTCAGTACTTGGATGTATGTAGGTAATCTAGGGGCTCAATAACTAGAATGGGTTTCGGGGTAAGTTGTTGAACTCGAGTTTACAAGTATTCAGGCTTCTAGATTCGACCCTGAGCTGAGTGGGCCTTGAAGCTGTTCGCGGCTAGGGATTCGGGTCGACCCTAAATTCTAAACCTTACCTTAACCTACCACAACCTACTTCTTTCTTACTGTAAAGACTCATAGGAAGTTTCTAGGGACCCGACAAAAAAGTAGGTTGCTTCTGGTAGGCTCAGGCAGACCACAAAGCTTAAAGCCACACCCTCACCCCTGATTCTAACACCCTAACCGGTCTTCAACCCCATGTCCTAAACCCCCTGAGCCTCTGAAGAGTTTGGGGTAAACGGTATAGGGTGATGACCGTGATCTCCACAGTAGAATCGGGACGGACGTCTTGAACATCTATAAAGTTTGCGGTTCAGGGTTTAGGGTTTAGGGGGGTTTAGGGTTTAGGGTAAACCAAACAGGTGAACGTGAAGGTTGGATAACTGCAGGCTAAGTTTTGGCGTGCGGTCTCTCAGTTCTGCTTCGATGAACATTAACTCTCCTGCTTTCGTGCTGTTGACTTTGAGGGTCTGGGGCAGTTTTCCCTTTCTATTTCAACTTGCTGATTAAGCTTCCCATGTTCGGGATCCGACTTATGTGTTATCAACTGTGTTTCATGTGTTGTCTTGGTTCCATGTTCTGTGCCCCGGCTTTCTATGGTTTTATCCACTCCCTGTTTGACTCGTTTCCCAAATCCTAAACCCTAAACCCTAAACCCTAGACCGTAAACCCTAGACCCTGGACCCTAAACCCTAAACCTTAAACCCTTTTCTTACAGGAGCTCGGGGTCCTAAAGAGGCCATAGACGGCTTAGCCCTGAACCCTGACTCATTGGCACCCATAAACACAAAAACAAAAAACCTACAACATACCGAAGGTTTAGGGCTTAGGGTTTAGAGAGGGTTTGGGGTTTAGAGTTTACGGTTTTCGGAAGGTATACTACAACATCTTTCTTCCTCAACAACAAGGCCAAAAAAGGTTTAAACTTTCTAATAAGATAGACCAAATATATAAGGCCAACACCTAATATATAAGGCCAATAAGTTTGAAGTTCTCCCAGGGGCTGTCTAGGTACCTTCCCAAATTGCACGGGGCTGTGGTGGGAGAACGATTTCCACCCATGCACCGTGGCATGCGGGAGCGATTCATGAATCCAAAGTACTAGCCGTTACAATGGTATCGGTAACCAGCCGTATAAAGCCGTGTAAAACCCTGCAAAGCTCTATGGAACCCTCTTCAAAAGCCTCGAACCTGCAACCATGAAACAAATATCTTTCGGCCCGGCTCCTCCGTGATCCGCCGGAGCTCGGGGAGCATAGGGGTGGCCTGGAGGCGCATCGCACCGCGCTTTCAAGGGTGTTAAGGGTTCTTGGGGAGGTCAGGGTATAGGTTTTGAGGACGTCTGGGTTTGAGGATTTAGCGTTGAGTTACCAGGGTTCGCGGCGTACGTGCGTAGAGTCTACAGTCTACCCCTAAGGGTCCAGGTACCCAAATAGTATATACTTTGGCCTTAAAGTAGTCCCTATATAGGTACTTTGGGGCCAAAGTATATACTATTTGGGTACATGGACCCTTAGGGTACGGTTTCTTTGTAAGGCTCTATGGGGGCTTTGATGGAAACTGATCGGGCAGGATTAAGCTGTGGGGGTCCTTACGGTGTCAAGTTTCGGGTAGGGCTCATGGGGTTCACCGGGGAAGGCTTAGCATTTCAGGGCCGAGAACGGATTTCTGTTGATGTTTCTGGACTTCGGTTTGTTATTCTGCTCTCCTACCGGCGTCGTAGTACCGTGGGGGGGGGGGGGGGGGGGGNNGGTCAACCAGCACAGCCCCAGCGCCTCTCAATACCATCCTATTCGCTGGAAAAAACCTAATGACACAAACCATGACGGAAACCCTTCATCAGCCACTGCCTCGTCGTTGCCTCCCCTCATACTGCAATCATGACATGAAAAGTACAGTTAAAAGAACTGTAACGTTGAAACTTGAATGCAATGACGTTGCCTTGGAATCCCATTTGGGGGTTTCCGAAAATA